AGTATTATGTAATAATAAATAATTTTAAAAGTCAATAAAATAAACATTAAAAATTGAATATTAATAGATTATAATACATTAATATAAATATATTTTATTATTATTAAAATAAATCAAAGATCTCCAGAGTTTAATATAGTAACTTTCGCTCCGGTGTCTTTTAACGACGACGGAGGTCCTCCGGAGATCTACACCTGAAGATCTTTGGAGATCTTTGCTAAAAAATTTCCTGATGTTGTTTGATTATAAAAACAAACAAACAATTTTAATATAGCAAGTATAAAAAAATATTAAGTTAAATAAAACAATATAGAAATATATATTTTACTTATAAAAAAATAACTAGCAATTGTAAAAAAACCAGTAGTAAGTTAATAAAAAAATATTAAAAAAATTAATAGAAAATCAATAAAAAATTAATAATAAAATTAAAAATAAAATTGATAATCATATAATAAAAAAAATTAAAATATTGAAATAATTATTTTGCAAACTTGATACTGTTATTGAAATATAAAGTAAATCTAAATAGTTTAAAAAGTAAATCAGAAGTAAATCAAAATAAATAAAAAAAAAATGATAAAAAATTTTCTTTATATATTTTGTTTTATCTAATTATATTTTATTATAAATTATTTAACAATTATTATTATTATTTTAATAATTACTGTTTATAAGACCTGTGGATCCATAGTATAGTGATTAACACTTCACAGGTCAAATCACAAAATACCAGTTCAATCCCATGTGAAAGTGGTTTAATAAAAATAATATGATATTTGGCGCCATAACCTGTAAAAGTACTGTTTTTTATGAGAAGCTGTTTTATATGCTAATACAGTAGGCATTGAGATTGTGATTTTCAGAAAAAATGTCATAGCATAATAATTATCCAGTTGGTATTATAATAATTGCCAGAAGTTGCAAGGTGTATAAAGTATCTGCTTTTGACAAGTAGGTTTGATGATTCTTTTTTTAATATCTAGTGTCTTTCACATAAATTCCTATCTTAGTCTTATCCCAATCTAGTAATAAACTGATCTGGTGATACTTATCCTAAGAAGGTTTCTGATTATAAGTCCTGTTCCCTGCAATATATAAGTCAGTATTCAAGCAGTAAGCACCAGTTATAAGTACTTTGAACATTCTTGGATATCATTGAACAGGTAAAAAATTAAATGGTTAGCCTAGCTGTAGGTAGTAGTAAAGAGATTTATTCCTAATAGAGCAAGCAGTGATTATGTAGCTTTATTTGTCATAGATATTATCCCTAGTATCTCTTTTTAACTTCCTTTTAATTTCTTCTCAAGTTAGAAATAAAGCTGTTTAACTACTAGTAAAAATGCATACTACTGATTAAACAAAGAAATATCTTTGTCCAGTAAATTAGCTTCTATACCTAATATAGTTAAGAACAAGTTATAACAAACATTGTTATTTGGAGCAATCCTGATAAGTATTGAATGTAACTGACAATCAATATATTATAGCATAGTCCTAGATAGTAATGTCTAAAGATATATGTAAACATTATTATGAGGAATAAACATCTAGTCTAACAATTATTACTGATGCATTTTAAAAAATAATAATAATAATAATAATTATTATTGTTTATAACAATTATTATTATTATCTTAATAATTACTATTTATAACAATTATTATTATTATCTTAATAATTACTATTTATAACAATTATTATATACAGTATATATAAATTACTTGTTTAAATAATATTGCTTGAATGATCTGTGGATTCATAGTATAGTGGTTAACACTCCACAGGTCAGGTTACAAGATACCAGTTCAACCCCAGATAAAGGCAGTTGAACCGAATTAAAAATGGTATCTGAAGTTATAAACTGTTAAAGTCTTGTTTCCCATAAAAAGTCATTCATATGCTGATCCAATAGGATGTTGGGATTGTAATCCCCAGAAAAGATGTCACGGCGCGATGATTGTCCAGTTGGTGTTACAATGATCGTCAGAAGTTGCAAGGTATATGAGGTGTCCACTTTCAATGAGTAGGTTTGGTGATCCTTCGCTAATATCTGGTGTCTTTCACACAGATCCCTGTCTTAGTCTCATCCCAATCCAGTAATAAACTGGTCTGGTAGTACTTATCCCAAAAAAGCTTCTGGTTATAAGTCCTGTTCCCAGCAATATATAAGTCAGTGTTCAGGTGATAAGCACCAGTTATAAATACTTTGAATGTTCTTAGGTATCATTGAACAGGTAAGAAATTAAATGGTTAACCCAGCTGCAGGTAGTGGTAAAGGGATTTATTTCTGATGAAGCAAGCAGTGATTATGTAGCTTTATTCGTTATAGATATTACCCCTAGTGTCTCTTTCAACTCCCCTTAATTCCTCCCCAGTTAGAAATAAAGCTGTTCAATTACTAGTGAAAATGCATGCTACTGGTCCAACAAAGAATTACCTTTGTTCAATAGATTAGCCTCTATACCTAATATAGTTAGGAACAAGCTATAGCAAATGTTGTTATTTGGAGCAATCCCGATAAGTATTAGGTATAGTTGACAACCGATATGTTATAGCATAGTCCTAGATAGTAATGTCGAAAGATATATGTAAACATTGTTATTGAATAAATACTCAGCCAGACAATTATTGCTGATGCACTTTAAAAAATAAAAATAAAAATAATAATAATAATAATATTGCTTGAATAATATATATTGTACTTTATTGTTAAAAAAATAATTATAAATATATAATATTAGTAATAACTGACCAGAATCAATATAAAGCCGGGCAAAATTAAGATAACTGACTGGAATTAACATAAAGTCGGGTAAAATTAAAATAACTGACCAGAATTAACATAAGGCCGGGCAAAATTAAGATAATTAGCCGAAATTAATATAAAACTGGGCAAAATTAAGATGGTTAGCCGGAATTAATATAAAACTGGGCAAAATTAAGATAACTGACCGGAATTAATATAATGCCAAGCAAAATTAATCGAAATTAATATAAAATTAAATAAAAAAATTTTTTTTCTTTAAATGCACACTTGCTCTTGGTCCCAAGGGGGTGCATTTAGGGAGTGTTCTCTGTATATAGAATAAATAATAATTCAATTTTTTACTAAAAATTAAACTACTGCAAAAACATAAATAAAAATTTGATTTGGGAAACTAAGATATAAAATCAAAAAATAAATGAATTTAAAAATGCTTAAAATATTCAAAGATCATATATGTACTGTACAAAAAGACACATGTATAGATTTAATAAATTATAGAAGAAATAAAATTACGTATATATTTAAAATTTTCTTGTTATATTTTGTTGAAAGCTACGTACTGTACATGTTAGTTGATATATTCTTTTCATTGGAATACGTCGTCAATAAAATTTAACGCCTCAAGAATATTATTCTATCTTCCAATGTGAATTATTGGTTGTATTATTCTAAAAGTACGAAACATTACATATATTGAAAACGTGGCTAATCAAAATCCCGGAAAATTATTTAGAATAAAACTTACACTACTTTTTTTTTTACTTGTGATCCCGAATTTAACATGTATAATAATTTATATCGATACATTACTAATTAAGTACAAAAAAAAAAAAAATCTTTTTTAAATAGGCGTCATCTTGTTACTCTTGATACTTTCAGGCATACGCAGTTGATAATCTAAGAGCAAAGCAAGCATTCAATAATTGGTGTAAGATGTGAGAACTTTGAAAATTTTCACATAAACACTCACCTCCATTTTGCGTGATGTATCTCACCCAGGGTAACGCCTGGTACCCGCTTTTCTCCACAATTTTCAGGTAACGAACTTGAATTCCGGAGGTAGTGAAATACGGAATTTCAAATTTTACCCCGATAGGAGGTTTCTTATCGGAATCATCCACTGTAAATTATACCTCAGTGTTACCCAGGAACTGATAAAGAACGGATCAATTAGAAAAAAAAAATCTACCGTTCTTCACTGACGGCAATCCAAAATGTGCGCGCATCAAGAATTCCTTTCCGCCTTGGAACTGTTTGATTTTCCAGACGAGGCATGACTTTTCAGGCGCATATTGAACCGTGCCAATGCTACTCTATTATCAACACGTGAAAATTAAATCCTTTTTGTGCGTGGTTTTTTTTTTAATGAATCATGAAAAATAATAAGGTCCTACTCTGAATTTCGGAGAGTCAGCATCGTCAGGCACTGGAACATATATCTCAACATTGTTGGCCGTTGAGCGTCGCTTGAACTGAGCCTTTGCTTTGATCATATATTCGATCCTAAATCCAGTATAATTCTCCACAAGTGCCTCAACCCAGATCAATGGTTTGACCTATGTTTATCATTATTGCAAAGCCGATACATCTTGAATTTAGAATTGAATTTTCAATTTAAATTCTTTAATATTGATTTGCACTTTCACCTGTGTATTTAGTCGGTAGCTCATCAATTCAAATTCACCGTCCGGAGGTATGAAAGAGATGGTACGATCATTCTCAAATCGTGATAGGCGAACACATTGGTGGAATTTGACATCTTCCATTTCAATAGCCTTTCCTCGCGAAGGTGATCGACCGGTACTTTCAAACATGACCTTGTCATTTAGGCCTAGTCTTAACTCTGGCATACCACTCAGGTAACATTTCATCCTGATTGTTCCAAGAATCTCGCTACGTAACACATTCCCGTTTGCGTTAACTAACAAATTAACGGATTCAATGACATCCAAAAAAACCTCATTCTTCCGATATTTTATGCCCTCTGAACGCCACGAAACCGCATTCGTCACAGCCATCGGTGGACGAACTTGGATTTCCAATTTATGTGACTCCTGAGTTATGTACCTATTATTTGGCAGAAAATTAGTAGTGTTATCCTATACGCTATTTGATTCTTTAAAACCTTGACTTTACTCGAGTTAGACTACGCCAAGTAAAATTCGAAATTCTCACTCTTGTAATATTTTGGTCTCGGTAGTCTGTGGATATCCAAAGTCCATCATCTCATCAAGTAATTCATAAATAATGACAAAATTATCACGAATCGACTCTTCC